TAGGCTGACTCCTCCTCTATATTCTGTTTGCATGAGCTGTGCAGTTTGTCACATCTGCAGGCTGGCTGCCAGTACTTAGATTTATCACACCTTGAAAATGGACCATTTAAAATGTTTTCTCACAAAATAAGATTTCAAAACATTATCCTCCCTTTATATAAATCCTTGGGATATCAACATACTGTGTGCATCAGTGGTCCTAGAAAACGAGGACCACTGAATCACTGTACATCACAGGAAAACAAAATGCCACTGTAGAAAACTGTCTGTGGCAGGCTGAGTAGTGGTCCTCACAACATACTGGGATAACATAATGGTAAAATGGTAAAAGGGACTTTGCAAGTGTGATTAAGTTAATAATCTTGAAATGAGGTGATTGCTCTGGATTAGCCAAGGGGGCCTAATCTAATTATAGACTCTTCATAAAAGAGAGGCAGGAAGGTCAGAGTCAGAGAAGGTCATGTGACTATGGAAGCAGAGGTCAGAGAGTCACAGAGAGACGTGAAGATGCTATACTGCAGGCTTTGAAGACAGAAGAAGGAGCCATGAGCTAAGGAATGTAGGCAGCACCTAGAAGCTGGAAAATGACTGATTTTGAACTTCGATCTCCAAAACTGTATTGTATTAGTTGGTTTTGTGTTGCTATAAAGAAACACCTGAGATGGGATAATTTATAAATAAAAGAGGTGTATTCGCCTCACAGTTCTGCAGGCTGTATAAGAAGCATGATGACAGCATCTGCTTCTGGTGAGAACCTCAGAAAGCTTCTAATCATGGCAGATGGCAAAGGATGAGCAGCCATATCACATGGTGAGAGGGGGAGTGAGAGAGACAGAGGGGAGGCATACTATGTAAACAACCAGATCTCCTGTAAACTAATGGCATGAGACTCACTCATTACCATGGGGACAGCACCAAGCTATTCAAGACGGATCCACCCCCATGACCTAAACACCTCCCAGTGGGACCTCCAACATTAGGGCTCACATTTCAACATGAGATTTGAAGGGGACAAATATCAAAACTATATCATATACGATAAATTTGTGTTGTTTTAAGCCACTAAACTTGTGATGATGTTATACCAGCCATAGGAAATTAACACTAATAGAGGGCAAATGACAACGATCAGGGGTTGGAAGTCAGAGAGTGTTGGAGAATAGTATGAGCATGGCTGCTGCATAAGGGTTACTAAAAATATGAGACTCTAGTTTGGAAACAAGAAGCCTGAGAAGAGACTGTCTCAAAGTCTAAACCATTGCTGCTCTACAGAACTTTATTTGATGATGAAAATGTTCTGTATCTGCACTCTACAATATGGTAGCCACTAGCCACATGTGACTACTAAGTGCTTGAAATGTGGCTAGTACAATTAGGGAACTGAATATTGT